AACATACTGTCCACCAAGACTGAATCAAGAAGAAACTGATCACTTGAACAAACCAATCACTAGAAATGAAATCGAAATAGCAATAAAAAACCTCTCTACAAATAAAAGTCCAGGACCGATGGCTTCACTGGGGAATTCTACCAAACACACAAAGAAGAACTCATACCAGTCCTTCTCAAACTCTTCCAGAAGACTGAAAAAGAGGGAATGCTCCCAAACTCATTCTGTGAAGCCACCATCACCCTGATACCAAAACCAGGCAAAGACACTACAAAAAAAGAGAATTATAGGCCAATATCACTGATGAACATAGACACCAAAATCCTCACCAAAATATTAGCAAATAGAATCCAACAAAGCATAAAAAAGATTATACATCATGACCAAGGGGGATTCATCCCAGGGACACAAGGGTGGTTCGACATACGCAAATCAATCAATGTGAAGGTACATCACATCAACAAGAGGACAAAAACCACATCATCATTTCAATAGATGCAAAAAAAGCATTTGATAAAATTCAACACCCATTTATGATAAAAACTCTCACCAAAGTGGGAACATATCTTAACATAATAAAAGCTATATATGACAAACCTACAGCCAGCATAGAACTCAATGGTGAAAAACTGAAAAGGTTCCCACTAAAATCTGGGACAAGACAAGGATGTCCACTATCACCACTCCAATTCAACATAGTCTTGGAAGTCCTAGCCACAGCAATCAGACAAGAGAGAGAAATAAAAGGGATCCAAATTGGAAAAGAAGAGGTAAAAGTGTCACTATATGCCGATGACATGTTACTATATATAGAAAACCCTTAAAGATCCACACAAAAACTATTAGAACTAATTGAAGAATTCAGCAAGGTAGCAGGTTACAAGATTAATGTTCAAAAATCAGTTGCATTTCTTTACACTAACGATGAATCAACAGAAAAAGAAAGTAAAGAAACAATCCCCTTTAAAATAGCACCCAAAGTAATAAAATACCTAGGAATAAATCTAACCAAGGAGGTAAAAGAATTATACACAGAAAACTATAAACCATTGATAAAGGAAACTAAAGAAGACTTTAAAAAATGGAAAGCTATCCCATGCTCTTGGATTGGAATAATCAATATTGTTAAAATGGTCACACTGCCCAAGGCAATCTACGGATTTAATGCAATCCCCATCCAATTACCCAGGACATATTTCACAGAACTAGAACAAATCATAATAAAATTTCCATGGAACCACAAAAGACCTAGAATTGCCAAAGCATTACTGAAGAGAAAGAAAGAGGCTAGAGGAATAACTTTCCAGACTTCAGACAATACTATAGAGCTACAGTCATCAAGACAGCATGGTATTGGTACAAAAACAGATATATAGAACAATGGAACAGAATAGAGAGCCCAGAAATGAACCCACAAACTTTTGGTCAACTAATCTTCGACAAAGGAGGCAAGAATATACAATGGAATAAAGAGTCTCTTCAGCAAATGGTGTTGGGAAAACTGGACAGGAGCATGTAAAACACTGAAGCTAGAACACTCCCTTACACCATACACAAAAATAAACTCAAAATGGATCAAAGACTTGAACATAAGACAAGATACAATAAACCTCCTAGAGGAAAATATAGGCAAAACATTATCTGACATACATCTCAAAAATGTTCCCCTAGAACAGTCTACTCAAGCAATAGAAATAAAAGCAAGAATAAACAAATGGGACCTAATGAAATTTACAAGCTTCTGCACAGCAAAGGAAACCATAAGTAAAACAAAAAGACAACCTACGGAATGGGAAAAAATTTTTGCAAATGAAGCTGACAAAGGCTTGATCTCCAGAATATATAAACAGCTCATACAACTTAATAAGAAAAAATAAACAACCTAATCCAAAAATGGGCAGAAGACCTAAACAAGCAATTCTCCAAGAAAGACATACAAATGATCAATAGGGACATGAAAAAATGCTCAATATCACTAATCAGAGAAATGCAAATCAAAACTACAATGAGGTATCACCTCACACCAGTCAGAATGGCCATCATTCAAAAATCCACAAATGACAAATGCTGGAGAGATTGTGGAGAAAGGAGAACCCTCCTTCACTGCTGGTGGGAATGCAGTTTGGTGCAGCCACTATGGAAAACAGTATGGAGATTCCTCAAAAGACTAGGAATAGACTTACCATATGACCCAGGAATCCTGCTCCTGGGCATATATTCAGAAGGAAACCTACTCCAGGATGACACCTGCACCCCAATGTTCATAGCAGCACTATTTACAATAGCCAAGACATGGAAACAGCCTAAATGTCCATCAACAGATGACTAAATAAAGAAGAGGTGGTATATTTATACAATGGAATACTACTCAGCCATAAAACCCGACAACATAACGCCATTTGCAGCAACATGGATGCTCCTAGAGAATGTCATTCTAAGTGAAGTAAGCCAGAAAGAGAAAGAAAAATATCATATGAGATCGCTCATATGTGGAATCTAAAAAAAAACAAACAAACAAAGCATAAATACAAAACAGAAATAGACTCACAGACATAGAATACAAACTTGTGGTTGCCAAGGGGGTGGGGGTGGAGGAGATAGACTGGGATTTCAAAATTGTAGAATAGATAAACAAGATTATACTGTATATATAGCACAGGGAAATATATACAAGATCTTATGTTAGCTCACAGAGAAAAAAAGTGACAACGAATATATATATGTTCACGTATAACTGAAAAATTGTACTCTACACTGGAATTTGACACAACACTGTAAAATGATTATAAATCAATAAAAAATGTTTAAAAAAAAGAAAGCAGTGCAGAGATTGCAAAGGACAAGAACATTGCTGCCTAAGGGTGTCTCTTTAGCAGGGCTGTGGACAAGTCTGTTTCCTCTGCAGCCCATGGCCTGGGCAGACACCTTAACCAACATTAACCAATCCTCTGCAGGCCATCGGAAAGGGTACACCTGAACTTGTTCCCCGCTCCCTATCCTTCTGGCCTCTTTTAGAGTTGCTTTTAATGGCTATGCTATGAAGTGATGCCTCCACAGCTACCAGATGTGTTAGAAACAGCTTTACCTAAAATCCATTCATCTGTCCTGGGATGTGGTTGAGGGTGGGCTCAGTATTTGACTCAGTGACCCTTTATGAGGACCTAAGGGAGAAATTGCTCACGTCTTACTTGCAGGATTGCCGTGTTTTTCCTGAACAACTGGTTTAGGTATGTCTTTGGACATGATGAGTCATATAACTCACCATATTTCCCTCTGTACTGCCTGCTAGAAGGTCAAAGGCTTGTCTACAGCAAGTTTCCATGGCTTTATTGTATGGATTTTATGTACAATCTCTTCAACCTACTTTATTTTTAATCTTTACTTTTTCTTTACCCTAATTCCTAAGTTATTTTCTAACTGCCTATAATGTGTATGTTTTTACAAGATGTATCTAATTTTTGAAGCAAAGTGAAATGTAAGTACACTTTTAAATAGAAACTACCGATAACACTTGTTCCGGGGCAAATATTAAGCACCTACTCTTGCCAGTTGCCTTGACTAAAATGTATTCACTGCAAATATATGTCTGTACAGTACAAACTGAATGGGTTTAAAGGAGAAAGCAGGGCTTTCTCACCTCACTGAGGCTGAGGTGGTTACATCTGAGTCACTTCTGGAAGGAAATGGATAGAGTGGAAAACTTCTCACAGACCTACCACCCACCTGTCTTGGAGTGTGACCCAGCTGATCCTGTACAACCTAGAACAGGAGTGTCGTGCTTTTAGAGAGAAGGGCTTGTGAGGGGGTCTTTTTATTCCTCAATAGGGGTTTCATCTACCACAGTGACACATGTAAATTTCATAAAGCGAAAAGAGAAAAATAGCACTGAAAGTATGCCACAAGCACCATAGAAATGACTACAGTTTGTTGCTCTTGAAGTTTTTGTTTTAGAATTTCAGAAATATGGTCAACTGCTTTAGAAAAAAGATATTCACAGTTTGATAGAAATAATAAATTATAAAAATGCCTAATTACATAATGTACATGTCTAAATATTAACTATCAGAAATTGTAGGGATTTATCTCAGCTAGATGTAACTCAGGGAAATTTCTCTGTTCTGGTCCTGTTAAAATAGTTTTTCCTTTTGGAGTTTTGATTCAGGGAAATAAATTCTTGATTATTTACTTTAAGTAATATAATTTTTGAAAAATACCAAATAAAATCACATCCCTAGCTCATCTCACTAGACAACTTTTAGAGCTCAGAGAGGGCAGGGCCACCTCATTTGGACTTTCAACCAGACATATGAGAAAGGCAGGCTTGATGGAAGAGGGAGAGGCATCATACGTGTGCCCTAGAGCCAAAAAGACTAGGCAAAAAAAAAAAAGTCTTCTAAAATTATCTTTGCACTGTTCGCTCACTGTGAAAAACACAGAGTTGAATGTAATGACCGTTTCCATTACAATGTTACGAAGATGATGTCATCCTAAGCTTTCTCCTTTCAGAACAAATCTCATGTTCCCAGGTTCTCACATACCTGAAGCAGATGTTAGGATACGGACAGAAGACATGGATTACCAACGATCCATAATGCAGCAAAGATTCTGTCTCCCCCGAACATAATTATATTAATTTCCTGCCCTTTTAACGTAGTGTCTTGTATCAAAAACAAAGAAGAGGAAATAGAGTTCTGCTAGCTAAAATTAATTACAGGACAAAAATATCAGAGTACCAATATCTTTAGTTCAAGTATTTCTAACATGCTTTTATGTTTATTACCTTCTACAGCTAGACTATTTCCTTATATAACTGAATGTTGCCAGGCTCAGTGAAACTCACAAAACTAGTTTTGATTTGTGACAGAGTAGCCTGAGTGGCATTTTTAAGACTGTAAACTTCAAAGAAGCGTGCTTTGTCATTTAAAAACAGACCCCTAAGCGTGCTTTTCCTGTCAAGTAATTTAACAGCCTCTTTGTGTCTGTGTCTGCATTTCCCAAAGGATGATATTGGAAAATTGGGGAAGCTGTTGATGCATGGCTCTTTCAACGTCTGGACCATTCAAAAGGATCGTTACAAGATGAAAGACTTAATTCGATTTAAGCCCAGCCAGAGGCAAATCTATTTGTTTGAAAGGGGCATAGTGTTCTGTAAGATACGAATGGAGCCCAATGACCAGGGTCTATCTCCTCACTACAGCTTTAAGAAGTCTATCAAGGTAAAGGGGTCCTTCTGCACCCAGGAGTCAGCACAACCCTATGGAGACAAATGTTCTTATTATACAGATAGGGAACTGAAGCTTAGAGAGGTGATGTTAACTTGCCAAATGTCACACAACAGAGTGAGAATCCACGCTCAGGACTGTCTGACTCCAGAGTCGGGGCTTATAATCAGTCGCCAGCCAGGGCCAGAGCTGGCACACAGGTGTCTTTGTGCTGGGTAGAGAAAAGGGTCCCTGGGGCAGCCTGTCTGGACAAAGTAATTAAAAAGCACCCTCTTTCCTCCAGGCAGAAGGGGGAAGGACTTGGTGATTACAGCATGGGCTGAATTTCCTCTTTGACTTGCCCTTCTCAAGCATACACCCTTTGCATACAAGTGTAGACAGCATCCTGACCCTGGGGGTCTAGGAACCCATGTCCACACCAAGCAGTATCGCGGGCCTTTATAGGAAATATTTCATAGCTATCTATCACACACACACACACACACACACACACACACACATTTGTGCTCTTCTGATTAAAAGTGTTAATTCATTCATAGTAATTTTGCTTATTTCTGTTTCTTAATGGATACTAATTCAGTTACTATTATGTAGAGATTTGTGAAATACTCAGATATTAAAGGAGTGGTGATCTTTTGCTTAAAGGTTGAAGGCTGCAGCTCTGTATGTGGAAAGATACAGTCTGTGTTGTCCTTTGAACAAGAGAAGACAGATAACAGTGTACCAGATTGCACTTTATGGTCCTTAAGGCCATTAACAGAGGATAGCGCTACACTTGGAAGGAAGATGGAAGAAGAGGGCTACCAAGGGTAGAAAGGGTTAGAGTGGCTGATGTGGAGGACTTTAAAATCAAAAGAGGATCGTATTGTCGCGCTCTTTCTCTCTCTCTCTCTCTTTCTCTCTCTCTCGCCTTCTGAGACGGCTCACACTCTGTCTGTGGAGTGTGTATCTACTTTTACTTTAAATTAACACCCCACACCTCTTGGCTTCTTTCCCGCTTGCCTTTTGAGATGGCCCACATTCTGCCTATGGGATATGTATCTCCTAAGCCCCTTTCCCTGCTGAGTGAGACGGACCCCACTCTGTCTGTGGAGTATGTATCTCTCTAAATAAACTTGCTTTCACTTAAAAAAAAAAGAGGATGATATAAAAATTTTTCTTCTTTCTTTACAATAGTTGATGACACTTTCAATTCGCCAACTTGGAAGGAGGAGCAACAGAAAATTTGAAATCGCCCACCAAAATGGACTTGAGAAATACATCTTGCAGGTAAAATTCATGCCTTCCCCCATAGGTGTCTTCTACTCTTTCCCTGTCATGTTCCATGACTTGATAAGTGTTTCCTGGCTCATTCCAAAGGGCGCTCAGAGAATGAAAGTCCTGTCCAATTAATATTCCAGGTGATCTGATACTCACAGTATTCTCTTATCTGTAATTGCAGGCAGCTTCAAAAGAAATCAGAGATTGCTGGTTTTCAGAAATAAGTAAATTATTGATGGAACAACAAAACAATATTAAAGGTAGGGTTACCCCTGCTAACTTTAGTCTGGAGAGTTATACTGATTCCAGCTTTGTAGTGGGAATATTGTTAAAGAAAATGATTTGCCTGGAAAATAACTGTGGGCACATGTTCGTAGTACCTGGAAGCACCTGTGCTTGCTTTAGATTGTGTAGGGTTTTTTGTGGTTGTGTGTATGTGTGTCCCTTTTAGTTGTTTCCCCCTCCACATACCTAATTGCTAAGATCAACTTTCTCAATCTTAAAATCCCAAAGCCACCCAAGAAAATAGGCTGTTAATAGAGATTTAAATGACTGATGTAACTTTTAGAAGCTGCACTACTTTTTTAAGCTTGAGGCACAATTAATATACCATAAAATTCACTCTTAAAGTGTACAGTTCTTTGGGTTTTAGTCTAGTTCACAAGGATGTGCAACCATCACCACTGTCTAATTCCAGAACTTACTCATTACTCACCCCCACAAAAACCCTGTGCCCATCAGCAATCATTCCCCATCTTCTCCCCCGACTCCAGCCCCTGCCAAACTGCTTTCTGTCTCTATGGATTTTCTTATTTTGGACATTTTGTATAAAGGGAATCATATAAAATGTGAGACTTTATGTCTAGTTTTCTTTCACTCAGCATGATTTTTTTTCAGTGTTCATCTGTGTTGTAGCATGTATCAGTAGTTCATTCCTTTCCATGGCTGAATAATAGTGCATTGTATGGATATACCACACTTGTTTGTCCATTCTTCAGCTGATACACAGTTGGGTTGTTTCCACTTTGGAGATATTGTGAATAATGCTGCTGTGGAAACTGGTGTACAAGTTTTTCTGTGAACCTGTGTTTCCAATTCTCTGGCATAAACAGTAGATAGATAGATAGATAGATAGACAGATAGATAGACAGACAGACAGACAGATGGATTACTGAGCCATATGGTAGCTTTATATTCTATATTAACTTTCTGAGGAATTTCCAAAGCCGTAGCACCATTTCTTGTTTGCATCAGCAGTGCATAATAGTTCCATTTTCTTCTCTTCCTCACTGACGCTTATTATTATCCTTTTTTTTAAGTCATTATTATAGCTATCTTAGTGTTTGTGAAGTGGTAGCTCATTGTGGTTTTGATTTGCATTTCCAAAATGCTATTGATTTTGAGCATCTTTTCATGTGTTTATTGGCCATTTGTATATTTTCTTTGAAGAAATGTCTAACTCCTTGCCCATTTTTAATTAGGTTATTTTTCTTTTTCTGGTTGAGTTATAAAAATTATTTATACATTCTAGATACTAGACTCTTATCAGCTGTATGACTTGCAAATATTTTTCCCATTCTGTGGGTTGTCTTTTTTCACTTTCTTGATGATATATCTTTTGAAGCATAAAAGTTTTTAATATTTGTGATTTTATTTATTTTTTCTTTGTTGTTTGTGTTTTGGCATCATATCTAAGAAACCATTGCCTAATCCAAGCTCAAAAATTTACATCTGTGCTTTCTTCTAAGAATTTAGTTTTAACCTTTACATTAGGCCTTTGATACATTCTGAGTTAATTTTTGTACATGGTATGGATTAGAGGTAAATTCACTCTGTAACACGTGGCTATCCTGTTGTCCTTGAAACATTTGTTGTAAAGACTATTCTTTCCCCTACTGAATGGTCTTGGCACTCGTTATGAACTCAAGTGACTTAACAATGTTTGTTTTCTTCCAAAATTGGTATTTTGAAACTATGCACCCCTCCAATGTAATGGAATTAGGAAGTGAAACCTTTGGGAGGTAGTGAGGAGTAGATAAGATCATGAGGGTGGAGCCCTCATTAATGGGATTAGTGCCCTTGTAAGTGCCACACAGCTTGCTTCCTCTCTCTGCTCTCTGGTATGTGAGGACACAATGAGAAGTCAACAGCCTGCAGCCCAGAGGAGGGCTCTTACCAGAACTCTACCTTGCTGGCACCCTCATCTCAGACTTCTAAACTCCAGAACTACGAGAAATAAGTTTCTGTTGTTTATAAGCTACCTAGTCTGTGATGCTTTATTATAGCAGCCTAAACTGGCTAAGACAGTACCCTAATGAAAATCAGTTGGCCGTGATGTAGAATTCTCAGTTGAGAGTCTTTTTCTTCAAGCATTTTGAATATATCATCTGATTATTTTGTGGCCTCCATGGTTTCTAACAAGAAATCAAATATGTATCTTATTTTAAGGATTTGTTGTATGTGACAAATTGCTTTTCTCTTGCTGCTTTCCAGATTTTCTCTTTGTTTTTTTGGTTTTTTTAATTGAAGGGTAATTGACCTACAACACTATGTTAGTTCCAGGTGCACAACATAGTGGTTTGATATTTCTATACATTACAAAATTATCACCATGATAATCCTAATAACCATCTGTCACCATACAAAGTTATTGCAAAGTATTGACTATATTTCCCATGCTGCACATCTCATCCCTATGACTAATTTATTTTGTAACTGGAAATTTGTACCTCTTAATATCCTTCACCTATCTTTCCTACCCCTACCCACTTCTCCTCTGGCAGTCACCTGTTTTTTTCTCTGTATGTATAACTCTGTTTCTGTTTTGTTATGTTTGTTCATTTATTTATTTTTTAGATTCCACATATAAGTGATATTATACAGTATTTTTGTATCTGTCTGATTTATTTTACTTACCATAAAACCCTCTATGTCCACCCATGTTGTCACAAATGGCAAGATTTTATCCTTTTTATGGCTGAATAATATTCTGTTGTATATATAAACCACATTTTTATCCATTCATCTATCAATTGACACAGGTTCCTTCCATATCTTGGCTGTTGTAAATAATCCTGCAGTGAACATTGTGGTGCAGCCATCTTTGATTTAGTGTTTTTGTTTTCTTCAGATAAATACCCAAGTGTGGAATTGCTGAATTGTATGGTAGTTCTATTTTTAATTTTTTGAGGAAACTCCAGAATTTTTTTTTTTTCTGGTCAGCTTGGTTGATTCCACTATTCTGTCTTGCAATTTGCTGATCCACTCATCTGTATCATCTAATCTGCTGGGTTTTTTTTTTTTAACACCTTTGTTGTGGTATGATTCTTGTACAGTAAACTACACGTGTTCATCTCACCTACTGTCTATTCCTTCTAGAGTATTTTTTATTTCTGTTATTGTATTCTTCAGCTCTGCTTGGTTTTTCTTTATATTTTCTAACTCCTTTTAAATTTCTCCCTGTATCTTTATGATCACTACCTTCAACTCTTTACTAACTAGATAGCTTAGCTTCACTTTGCTTAATTCTCCTTCTGGGGTTTTATCGTATTCCTTCATTTAGAGTATCTTCCTCTGTCCTCATTTTGCCTAATTCTCTGTTTTCATTTCTATGTATTCTAGGTAGGTCAGTTTCATTTTCCAATGTTGGAGAAGTGACCTTATGTAGGAGATGTCCTATGAGGCCCAACAGCACACTCCTCTTTGGTCACCAGAGTGATATGCTCTAGGGCTGCCTCCTATATGGGCTGTGTGGACCCTTCTGTTGTGGTGGGGCTGACTACTGTAAGTGCACTTGCAGGCAGGGCTGGCCCTGATTCCAGTTGACTGCCAGGCCCTGCCTTGTGGAGGAGGCAGCCAGCTTGCTAGTAAGTGGAGCTTTTAGGTCCTGATGCAGCTGGCTGCATGGCTCATAGGCGGGACTGGGTCCTGGTCCCTCTGGTAGGTAGGGCTAAGTCCCTGGGGGGGTCAGGGGGTCCTAGGGCAGCAGGCCTGCTGGCGGGTGGGGCTGTGTCCCAATACTAAGAATCTAGAGGGAGGATTCCAAAATGGTACTTGCAATGAGCTCTCAAATATGGTTGCTGCCAGTATCTATATCCCCAGAGGGAGTCCCAGTTGCCTCCTGCCTCTTTGGGAGGCTCTCCAAGATTAGCAAGTGGGTCTGACCCAGGCTTCTTTCAAATAACTGCTTCTGACCTGGGTCTTGGAGCATGTGATATTTTGTGCATGCCCTTTAAGAGTGGAATCTCCATTTCCTAGAGCCGTCTGACTCTCCCCAAAGTAATCCCCACTGACCTTCAAAGCCAAATGTTCTAGGGGCTCATCTTCCTGGTGCAGGACCCCTAAGCTGGGGAGCCCAATATGAGACTTGTACCCCTTTCTCCTTGAGGAGAACTCTGTAAAGTGATTATCCTCCCATTTGTGGGTTGCCTACCCCAAGGGTACGGATTTTGACTGTTCTGCTTCTCTGCCCCTCCTACCCTTCTCATTGTAGTTCCTTCTTTATATCTTTAGATATGGCAAATCTTTTCTGCTAATCTTCAGGTCATTCTAATCAATAATTGCTCTGTAAAATAGGTGTAATTATGGTGTACCTATGAAAGGAGGTGAAATCAGGGTTTTCCTACTCTGCCATCTTGGCTATGTCTCTTTGTATTTTGACAGTTTGATTATTTTATGTGTAGGTGTGGATCTCTTTGAGTTTTTATTTCTTGGAGTTTGTAGATCATCTTGGATGTGTAGATTAGTGTTTTTCATCAACTTTTGGAAGTCTCTTCCATTATTTCTTTAAGTATTCCTTTAACCTCTTTGTTTCCCTCCTCTGGACTCCCATCATGTGTATGTTGATATGCTTGGTGGTATCCCACAAGTCTTTAAGGCTCTGTTCTTTTTTTTTTTTTCCCATTCTTTTTCTTTATATTCCTTAAGCTGGATAGTTTGAATTGACCCATATCTAAGTTCTCTGATTCTTTCTTCTGCCTGCTGAAATCTGATATTGAGCCACTCTAGTGAATTTTTCATTTCAATTCTTACACTTTTCAACTCAAAATAACTATTTGGCCCTTTTAAAATATAATTTCTATTTATATTCTCTTTGATGAAAGTTTTTTTCTTCATACTTTCCTTTAGTTCCTAATATATAGTTTCCTTTCATTCTAAACATTTTTTAAATAGATGATTTAAAGTCTTGGCCTAGGAAGTACAATGTCTTGGCTTCCTCAGGGACAGTTTCTATTGACTGCTTTTGTGTGTGTGTGTGTGT